CGTGGAAGCCTCTGTGTTTTTCCCCCCCATTGTAATCGTTCATTTTACTTGTCTTATGCCTTGCCATGAACGTGCACACATGCACACGTGGAAGCCTTGAGAGATGCTAGGAGACATCCACACTTGCAAGCCTTGAGAGATGCTAGGAGATCAGAAGGAAGACAATGTAGTGGGAAAAGGGCTCATCAAGGGGTACGTCTCCTAACGACCAAAGGAAGACAAGGCTGGACTAGAAGAGGGGAAAAGGCTGATGAAGGGGCAGAGGGATCCTACCACCAGAAGGAAGAGGCTGGACTAGAAGGAAAGAAAAACAGGATTAAGGGGGGTAGATGTCTCCTACCACCAGCAGGAAGAGGGGGAGGAGTAACAGGAAATGGGCTCATCCAGGGGTAGGTCTCCTACCTCTGGAGGGAAGTGGATGGACTACAAGCGGGAAAAGGGCTCATCAAGGGGTAGGTCTCCGAACGACCAAAAGGAAGACAGGGATGGACTAAAAGAGGGAAGAAGGCTGATGACGGGGAAGAGGTCTCCTACCCCCAGAAGGAAGAGGATGGACTAGAAGGAAAAAAGCAGGATTAAGGGGTAGGTCTCCTACCACCAGAAGGAAGAGGATGGACAAGAAAGGAAAACAAACAGGATCAAGGGGGGTAGATGTCTCCTACCACCAGAAGGAAGAGGGGGAGGAGTAGCAAGAAATGGGCTCATCAAAGGGGTAGGTCGCCTACCTCCGGAGGGAAGAGGATGGACTAGAAGCGGGAAAAAAGCTCATCAAGGGGTAGGTCTCCGAACGACCAAAAGGAAGACATTGCTGGACTAGAAGAGGGAAAAAGGCTGATGACGGGGAAGAGGTCTCCTACCACCAGAAGGAAGAGGATGGCCTAAAGGAAAAAAACAGGATTAAGGGGTAGGTCTCCTACCACCAGAAGGAAGAGGATGGACCACAGGATTAAGGGGTAGGTCTCCTAACACCACAAGGAAGAGGGGGGTGTTATGACCCTGGCCAATTTCGAGGTACACATCCATCAGATAATACAATGCTATCCAATTGCAGAAAGAAATGAATGAACTTGAGAGGAGAGAGATGATTAGAAGAAGAAGAAGTAAGAAAGAAGAAGAAGATGATGTACACCAGCATAGACAAATGACAAGGCTCTTCTTCTTCGCCCAGCAATCTCCTCCTCCTTATCTCCCCCTTCTCTTATTCATACAAGAAATAATAATACAATGTTGAATCGCTGATCCAGAATCAATGTCCGAGTTCCTCTTCTACTGCAGGTACCACTTGAGGTCCACCATAGCCATGGCCGCCTCCTCCTTCCTTCATC